TCGGGCGGGCGCGGGCAGGGCCGCCCCGGGGGGTGTCGGCGCGGAGCCCCGGTAGTCGAAAGTCGCGTTTTAAGGACTGGCCTGATAGATTACTTTCTACTTAAAGATCCGGCGGGAGGCGGGGCCACGTGACCGCGCGTGACGTCAGGGCCGCCGCGAGCCGGCCAAACTCAAGTTGGTCCGGGAATTGTCAACAAAGGGGCGAGGGACGCGCCACTCCGCGTCGCCTGCGGGCCCCACGCGCCCTGGCCCGGCACGAGTGGACTGGGCACGGCCAGGAGGGCCCGAGCGCGTCCGCAGGACCCTGCGCCGTCTGCGCCCCGCACCCGTTCCCTCCCGGACGTGGACGGGCCGAGGACAGCCAGGTGCCATCTCGGGCTCGGGGGGACAAACTTACCAGCCTCTTTTGTTTATCGTTCCAGCTGCAGAGGACACGGGCGGCGCGAGGGGTCCCCTCGCTACGCCGAGTCCGGCTCTCCCGGGTAACCTGCGACGTGCGCCCTCCCGCCAGCCCCGCGTCCCCACCGGGCCCCGCTGCGTCCCCGCACGGTTTTCTAGATATCTGTGTTTTTTGCGCGCGGTCATCGCAGCATCACCTGGGATTCCCGAAGGTCAGAAAGTAGCTATCGATTAACCTATTAGAACAGTTGCGGAGAGAAATAAAAACGACGTAAAAAACAGGGAACTTATAAATAAGGAAGCGGTGGCCGCGGCTTGGAGTTAAACGACTTAGCATATGAAAAAGTCGGAAATGCGGAGCGGGGGCGCCGGCCCGGGAGTCGAGCCGCCGCGGGAGAGCAGAGGCCCGAGCCACTATTAGACGCCGCGGGCGGCGGGGACGAGGCACCCCGGGATGGGGTCCCCTTAGCTGCCCCCTGACGCAGCTCCTCTCTCAGAGCGCAGGGGACCCCAGGACCCAGCTCGGAGACCAGGACGCGCGTCCGGACCCCCTTGGCCAGCATCAACGACGGTAGGAAGGACCCGGGGCTCCCAGGGGCTGCGGCTAGGGGGGCTTGGGGACCTCGCACCGCCCGGAGTAAGCCACGGCCCGGGCCGCGACCCCGCCGCGCGCCCCCTCCCGCTCGAGGCCGCCTGGTTGCGAGCGCGGCGCGCGTGGCGCGGCGTCTGTGTCACCCACGAGCTCGGGCTTGGGAGGAGGACTGAGTGGAATGCTCACGGGAGGCCCTGCGAAACCGACCTCATTCCCGGGGTCGGCGCTGCTTCTGATTCCCAGCCTCTTCCCACCGAGCACCCTTTCCCGGGCACACCAAATCAGCAAGAATTCCAGGTCTGGCCGCCTGCTCCATGACGCAGATTGACTTTCTCCAGTTTCCCGGGTGCAACACCAGCCCTCGGGGTTCCTTCCCGCCAGTGGGGGCTGGGGACAGGGTGGGCGCAGGGACTCCGCCCTGAGACTGTCCCTGAACCTCCACTGTTTTTCTGTTTGCAAGTGGTCTCGGGGTCACCCTGACCCCCAAACGCATCTCTGAGTTATTTCCGCAGCTGCCTCCCGTGGGCCCGCCGGCTGCAAACCCATCTAGACTTCCTCGGGCGAAACCCACTGGAGCTTCGAGCCGGCCGCCCATCGCTCCCGCTGCAGAGGTTTTGGTTGCCACTGGCCAAACACCAAGTCCAAGCAAGGTCGGAGGAAAAAGAAAAACAGCTGAAATTCGCAAATTTCAAAACTCTTTTTGTCTAGTTTGGGGTGCCCACCCCGGGGTAGGTGCGGGCCCGCTTGGCCCTGGGCTGCGTCTCCGTGGATGCTTTCACGTGTGCGCGCGAGGGTGGCGGCTCGGGCAGCCACGCCGCTCACTTTGAAGCCGTCCCCAGACGCACCTCGCCTGGGTCCCCGGAGAGGGGGTGGCGAACACCGCCCAGCTGCCGGTTCCATTTGTTGCGCTTTTCTCCTTTGACACAATAAAAGTCAAATTAATTGATTCATACCATTAATTACGGTTCGTAGCGTGAAAAGCAACGCTTCCCCTCGGTGAGAGATCTATTGTGCTCGTCTCATGTTCAATCAGTGCTGCCATCTGATGCCGGGTCGGCCCTGGCAGGAACTTTTCGCCTCGATTAGCTGAATGATGAGTCGCGCAGGGCCCGCTGGCTGCGGCCCCGACGCCCCGCGTCGATTTCCCGTGGGGGCACGGGGTTCCCGCGGCCACGCTAGCTGGGAACCGGCCCCTTCCTCCCGGCCGGCCGCCGGCCCTCACCAGCTCCCGGGGCGGGGACGGCAGGGTCCAGCTCCAGGCCGCCCGGATTCCAGGCCCAGTAAGTCCCGATGGCCGGGAAATCGCAGGTTGCAGCTGAAAGCCCCCAGGTCGTCAGCCACAGCCAAACTTCGGAAGCGAGACGGATAAAAGAGAACAGGGGCGCGCAGTGGGGGGAAGTGCGATGGTGGGGGCGGAAATTAGGGTGGGACAGGAGGCCCCGGGGTGGTGGGTGCCTGGAGGGACAGCGACGCGCACGACAGGATGGAGAGGGACGGCCGCGGGCCCAGCCAGCGCGGGGCGGGAAGACGGCGCGGCCTAGTGCGGGGACGACGAGCCCAGCAGCGGGGTCCTCTGGGGCGGATGAGGCCGCGGGGACGGGGCACACGGGAGCCGGGCCGGCCACCAGAAGCCAGGAGAGTGCAGTCGGGGAGGGTTCGTGCGCGCCCGGGGCGGGGCAGGGCGGGGACCGTTTATGAGGGCAAAGGTGGGCGCTAATTACAGCCCAATTTGGGTTCCTTAGTGGTCAACACCGCGGCACGCGCGTGGCCACCCTAACCCTCGCCAGGCCTGGCGATCCAAGTGCGCCCTCTTCTCTCCCCGCGAGCCGGAGGCTGGGCCACCCCGCGCCGCCCGGTGCGGTAGAACGCGCGACCCCGCGCGCAGAGCGCTTTTCTCCCAACCCGGGGAGCTGGCCTGGCTCCGCGGGGCTCAGGCGTGGGCGGAGCCTTCGGAGGAGCCCCTCCGCCACCCGCCGCGGCCTGCTCCTTCCTGGCCGCCGGCGAGGGCTCGGTTCGCTGCTGCCGACGTTTCTCCGCGTGGCTGCCGCCGAGTGAGGGGGGAAGGGGACAGGTGGCACCTGGGTGCCCAGCCCACCCCGACGATCTCCGTTCCCAGAGGTGGACTTCAGCTCCCTCCCCAGCCCCCTCCCCTCGGATTCCTCTGCCGGCCTCTTCCGGGCGGGGGAAAGCTAATTTCAGGTCCTTGTTTGGATTTGTGTCTCCAAACTTCATTTATTTCCAGTGTCCACCACTCAGAGGCCTTGCCAAGGCCTCCGGTAAATGGCGAGAGACCAAAAGGAACGGAGAAGAGGGGAGAGCACGGTTACGAATTTATTTGTATTGGAAATGTATAAACATCCATTCTGTAAAAGGCAACACGTTTAATTAACGATGAGAGAGCAGTTAGGGGCAGAAAGCTAGTAAAATTGTGTGATAAATTTATGGCATTGTTAGCGTGCTTTTAATTATGGCTATTATGTTAATTATTTCACATTAGCATGGAGTTATCAGCAGCATGTCAGATTTAATCAAAACGAGCCTTTCTCTCGAAAATTGTTCTTTTCATCTCGAGGAGAAAGGTCCGGAGCAGGCCCGGGTTGGAAGCGCCTTGGCGTGGGGACCCGCGTCTCCGCTGCGCGGCCCGCGGGGCGCAGGGGCCGGGGCTGGGTTTTTAGGAATTCACTTTCGCTCGCGCGGGTCTCCTGTCAAACGACATGAGGCTTCTCGTTCTTCTCCGCCCGAGCCCGAGCCCGGAGCCGAACGGGACCACGCGCCGGAGGGGACCCCGCGCGCCCAGGTGCAGTAGCCGGGTGTGGCCTCGGACCCGCCCGCCCCGGCCCGCAAGCGACGCGCTCGCCCAGGGCGCATCGATTTCTTAGTCACCGACGATCAATTTATTGGGGGCAAATAAATAGCCGGGTCTGGAAACGTTTCCATCGCTGGCGCGAGGGCCGGGCGCCGCCGCGGGAGGGCGCGGGCCTGGGCACCAGGGGCTGCGATCACCCCATCCTGATCCCGACCCGGACACCGGCCCCACGCGCGCGCGCTCCGAGCCTCCACCCCGCCGCCCAGGCTCCCTGCTCCCAGGAAAATCTCCGGGGTCAGCCAGGACCCCAGTCTCCCAGGAGCCCCCAGGCCCTGCCCAGGACCCGCGCCCGCAAGCCCCCAGGCCTGGCACGGGGCCACCCGCGGCCTCCTGCCCGGGACCGTCACCCCTTCCCGGCCGGGCTGTGCGCCGCCAGCTGCTGCCTTATTTTTAGCTCCATCCCTGCACGCGGTTATATTTAACTCGATCCGCTCCCGCGAGGAGGGCGCGCGGACACCGAATTCCCCGCATCGCGCCGGGCCCGCCCTCCCGGCTCTGGCCAGCTCCTCGGGGGCGGCCTGAAAAACCCCTGCCTGGGCACCCGGGCCATCCCGGAGCTGGGCGAGGACGCAGGGATCCGGGTCCGGAGCAGCAGCCACCGCCGGGCCCGCCCTGTGGGAGGGGAGAGGGCGGAGACCCGCGGAGCAGCGGGCGCGTTTCCTCCTCATGCAAGGCCTGGGGCGCCTGAGCGACCTAGGGAACCTCTTGCAAGCCTGGTCTTCCAAACGTTTCTGATGTTTAGCTGGGCACAGTAATCCCAGCAGTCTGGGAGGCTGAGGCAGGAGGATCTCAGGTTCAAGCCCAGCCCAGAAATTTAGCGATTTAGCGAGGTCCTGTTTCAAAAAAATAAAAATAAAAAAGGATTTGAGGATGTAGCTCAGTGTAAAAGCTTTGGGTTTAATCTTCAGTACCACAAAGGGGGAAAAGATAATGGTTTTGTTTGTTCTCAGGCGGGAATTCCTTCTCCCTCCCGTTCCCTTGCACGCCCCAAAGAACCCCCACATTTGCAGTAATATGTTGGAGTCTCGGTTCCAGTCCCGTCTACGCTGGACAAAGCCTCAGAAAGAGGCTGGGAGCAGCTAAGGCTCAGGAACATGCTGAATGTGCCGCATCCGCAAAGGTCAGAGGGGACCCAAAAACCGCGCACAAGCTGTGCTAAGCGCTCCGACACGACCAGGGCAGCAACACGCCCCTGGAAAATCTGAGTTCTCGCATTTTAGAAGACATGACTTTCTCCCTAGCCCCAAAATGGGTATTTCTTTCTGGCAGCCTCTTTGTGTAGGTCCCCCTGCAACGTAGAAACCTTTCCACAGCTGAATGCAGGGGAGAGGACATATGTTTATATAATGCTTTCTTGGTCCTTTTGTTTGGGTTTTTTGAGACAGGGTCTTGCTATGTACCCCAGGCAGGCCTCGAAATCATGGCCTCCATCGATCCTCCTGCCTCAGCCTCCCAAGTGCTGGCATCACACGTGTACACCACCACGGCCCACAAGGATGCTTCGTTTCAGGGACAGGAGCGACCAGTATGTGACGGGACACCGCAGGGCAGCGAGGAGGGTGAGGAGTGAGGAGTGGGACTTTACTTAAAAGTTCTGCGTCTCCCTTTAGACCTTAAGAGCGCTGTTGCCAACGGCGGCGGGGAGAACTTCCCGCGAACAGCACACACTGCGGAAGTAAGGACTTCCGGGAAGCATGCAGAGGCCTGGAGGCTTCTGGGAGGCAGCTGGTGACCCCGTGACTTCCCTAAGCTTGCCCTGCTCCTGAGGCCAGCGCCAGACTAAGGGCATAAGGACGCCAGAGCCGTCCTTGCTGTGCTGGCACTGCCTGGAGGTTTGGTTTGTTTGTTTGTTTGTTTTTGTTGTTGTTGTTTTTTCCGGTACCAGGAATCGAACTGACAACCTTGCGCTTGCCATGCAGGCGCTGTGCCGCTGAGCTAAATCCCCAGCCCCTGCGTGAAGGTTTGTTTTGTTTTGTTTTATTCGCTGTTGGGAACTGAACCCAGGGTCTCCACGCTGAGCCACATCTGCACCCCCAGCCCCTTCTGTTTTTCTTTTTAATTTTCTGAGACAGGGTCTTGCTGTATAGTTCAGGCTGACCTGGAACTCACTATGGAGCTCGGGCTGGCCTTGACCTCACAGTGATCCTCCTGCCTCAGCCTCCTGAGTGCTAGGATTACAGATGTGCACCACCAGACTCTCCTTAATTTTTTTTTTTAATTCTGAGACAGGGTCTCACAAAATTGCTAATTTTCCAGGCAGGGCTCTAAGAGGAGTGAAAAAAGTTTCCCAAAGAAAATAATCCTTGAGCTGTCTCGGATGATGAGTAGCAGTTAGGCAGATCACTAACTTTTGATCCTCCTGCCTCAGCCTCCCAGGATGTTAGGATTTCAGGTGTGTGCCCGTGGCCGCCCCACACAGGCTCTGTTCTGTTTGATTTGCTGCTGGCTCCCTGGCCCCCTGGCTCCCTGGCCTCTAGCTCCCTACAGGTGTGGGGCTCACGTGGAGGGCAAAGGGTGAGGCCTGCGTGATGCAGCCCTGCTCTGGCGGCACACGGTGAGGAGAGCTGGCATTGGACGGCAGCGTGGTAAGGCGCGCGTCATCACAGGAGACAGCCAAGCCGTGAAGCCCTGGGTGTGGGCTCAGCGGCAGCGAAGACCACTCAAGTGTTTTCAGTCTGCGATCAGAAAAGATGTTTGAGCCAGGCGTGTTAGCCCACGGCTGTCATCCCAGCACTCAGGAGGCTGAGGCAGGAGGATATCCGTAAGTTTGAGGCCAGCCTGAACTGCATAGCGAGACCCTGTCTCAAAAAGACAAAGAAAGTAAGTTTGGAAGGCTCCTTTGGGGTGTGGGAAGGGTAAACTGAGGCGGCCAAGCTTAGCGGCAGCAAAGGGGCTACTTGTGTTCCTTAGTACGAGGAGGTACAGGTGTGGCGCGGGTTGCTGGCCGTGGGGCCCGGGCTGAGGTGCACCGTGAGGATTTAGAAGCTCAGATCCGAAGCACTCGGGTCTGCAGCTACCAGAGCTCCCCGTCCTCCCAGACAGGAGATGCGGGCGTCCCAGCCGAGGACAACACCGAGAGGGGCGGGGAGCAGC